GGGACCTTCTGGCTCTGGGAAGAGAACGCTCGCGATTGCTCTTCTTCGTGAAATATATGGAGATGCAATCTGCAATGTAAGTAGAAATGTAGAATGACACTTATTAGAAGATATAGAGCTATGCTACATTTTTTATGGTTCATCAGTAGAAATCTTCAAGTTTTTTATGTTTCTGTTTCGCAGATATCCCATGATCTGAGATACTTCCAAATTAAGGTACCTTAGGCTTTGATTTCTTTTCTGCTATTTATTTATTTATTTTTCTGATCTTCCACACTTTTATAAAATTAAAAATAATTGTGCGGCTTAAAGGTCGTGTTTTTCAATTGATCTCGATTCATCTGTTAAGAGCTTGATGTTTGTAATTAAACACCACATTGTGAATTAGCACCCTTTATTTGGTAAATTGGAATGCCATTTTCATCGCATAACCAGTACCAAGTATCAGTTTTCTTTTTCTCTTCTTATCCCCTATTTGCTAATAGGAAACAAGGCCAGTGCAAGTTGTTGTACCAGTAAGCTCAAGTCCTCACCATATAGAGCTCAACGTTCAATTAGAACCTAATGCTAGATATGCAATAATGGCTTTCGTTAAGCAAATAAGCACCGAGTATGCACTGACCCCTGAAATCAGCAGAATGAATATGAAGGCTGATTACAAAGGTTCGATGCAAAAACTGTTTTAAAAACATTGTATCACTTCAGTCTTGATAGCTAATTAAGAAATAAATTGCTTCTCACAGTAATAGTTCTTTATAATGTGGACAAAGCTGCGGAGAACATACAGCACTTGATAAAATGGATAATGGACTGCTATTCAGATGCTTGCAAACTCATTCTCTGCTGTGAAGATGATGTATCCATACTTGACTCAGTGAAAAGCCGCTGCAAAGTTGTTGAACTTGCAGCTCCTGTAACTCATGAAGTAAGTCTCACAATAGTACTTTCTAATACAATTTACATTAACATTGACTACAAATGTAACATGTCATTTGGAAAATGTGTGTCATTTTGGGCCATCATATCTTCAACCAGACACGAAAATTCCTTCTAACTTTATCTTTTGCATTGCCTTAGATCATGGAAGTTCTTATTCAGATAGCAAGAAAGGAAGATTTTGAACTACCAATGGGCTTTGCGGCTAAGATAGCCGCCAAATCAAAGCAAAACCTGAGGAGAGCAATTATGGCTCTTGAAGCCTGCAAAGCACACAAGTAGGAGTATTACTACTTACAAATATTGTCCTCTATTTTATAGATTACTGATCCACATACTTTGTACAGCTATCCCTTTGCCGAAGACCAACCAATTTCAATAGGATGGGAGGAGATCATAATAGAACTTGCAGCAGAGATTCTAGCTCATCCCACCCCAACAAGGTATTGAAATTCTAAATCCAAATCTATTCTTCTAACGATATATCAAAGTCAACAGTGAAGGTTTATGATTTAATTAGGTTGTTCTCTGTTCGGGGGAAGTTTCAAAAACTTTTGGTGGAGTTTGTGCATCCAAAACTTATTCTCCTGGTAAAGTATATGTACTTTTAAGAGAATGGTTGAAAGGTAGTAATATTTAAGGAAGATCATGACATGGTTATGTTCAATGCATGCAGAAACTAGTTGAAGAATTCCTTAAGAGGGTAGATGCTGGTATAAGAAGGGAAATTTATTATTGGCATGCTTATTATGTAAGCTCTCTCCTTCTATATTAAAATATGTTTTTGAGAAAAGTTCGTTGAGTAACACAAGGCGATTTGCAGGAGAAGAGACTCCCTCTTGGAACAGTTGCTTTGTTAAAATTAGAAGGTACCTTGTTATGCTATGGCCTATGTATATATATGACATTTTAAGACTCATCAGTTCTATTCACCTGAATTGTTGATAGATTTATGTGTATAACTGCAGAATTTGTGGCAAAATTTATGAGCATATACAGGAAAACTTTGGGCAGCCGTCAACAGTTTCAATAAAATTCGTGACTACATGGCGGCTAGTTTGATTGAGGGAAGGCTCAAATTTTGGTGCAACAGCCAACAACTCTTCCCCTTTTATCAAATACTCTGCATCCGTAATAGGATAAAAGTCATTCTTGGGAACTCTGGCAGATTGTAAAGATAATATTGTGTGAATGTGGTGATGCATACAAACAGAAAGCTCGTATGCATCTGGCTGTAAGCTTTTTGGGAGTTCTTTAACTGGTCCGTTATATATCTAGAGACAAATTACTAGTATTATGTTATGCAGTTAAATTTTTCTGTAACAGTCTCGTTTGTTCCGATATTTTTTTGTTGTTATAGTGAGGTGTTGTTGTAAAGGACATATATTATAACATACATAAAAATCGATTCCGAAAAAAATTGGCTTTTATAGTGAATGGTTGATATATAGAGATGCAGGTCTAACTATATTATTTAGAATTCATTATACTGTATGTCCAAATCAGTATTTTACAAGGCGTTTTCGGGGCGAGGCGCATCAAAAATGACCCGAGGCAATGGTGTGGAGCGAAAGTTTCAAGAGGCATACGCCCAGCAATTGGGGGCGCCCGGGCGTTTGAGGCGCGTTTTTGTAGTGAGGCAGAAGCTCCATAGACTTTTTCAAATTAAAATAAAATTTGTTGAATAAGTCTTTCATATAATACCCAAATTATCAAAAGTTAGCTTGTAATTACTCATTTTACAAAGGATCTGGAATTACAAGTTAGCTCGTTTCCTTATTTTTTTTCTTTCATCTTGCCCTTTTTTATTATTAAATAATCATATTTTATCATTTACCCTATCTTTTTATATAATAATATTACCTCGTACCTTACTTTTTCTTTATAATATTGCAAGTCTATTCTTCATATTGTTGGTGCATGACATTATGAAACGAGGGCAAACAATACAATCTATTCAACTATTGTATACATCAAAACGATACAATACAATACATAACAACCATCCAAATAAGCTATAAGGGTGTGAGCTTTTTTCACGGGTCAGTTATAAGGTAATTACATGTATTTTTTCTATGATAATTATTATTCTTTAGTAACCTGATAAAAATAATAATTAACTTGTTATTAGAAGTTAAGAATCACTAATAGTATCCATTCAAATATTAGGCATGTCAAGAAAAGAACGCCAATTGTCATAAATCTTTTTTTATTTAAGTATATAAGTTCTTTACATAAATATTTCTCGCTTGTGTATGTAGATTATATAATAATTATACACAATTATACACATATTATACATGAATTATGCATATATTATACATCTACTGACTATTTTTAATTTAATTATTTGGGTAGGGGACTATTTAAGTTAATTCTTCGTAGGTGTATATCTATGGTGATGAGAAGATTTTGTTTCTTTCCATTTTTTGAGTAACAAGAAGGAAGGGCTTAAAGTAATGAATATATTTATTGCTATTACCTTGATAAAAAGATTTAGATTGAGGTGGATTACATTGGATCTTCAAAATCTGCAAGTAAAAAAGGAAGATATAAATAAAAATAAAGCAGAATAGCCTAACAAACACTTCTACTTATTTACATTTGTTATCATGGTCCTTATACTCAACAAAGTTTCATCCGAACACTTATAATAGTTCAAAGTCATTATTTTAAACTACTTTGACGCTGCGTGTCTCTCAATCACATGATGCTAGAGTTCACGTCATATAAAATATGCCACATCGCCTTTTCTTTTTAATTTTACATGAAAAAAGAAATAATACTTCTATCTTTTTTCTTTTTCTAACTTTTTCTTTATTTTTCTTTCTTCTCTACCATCACCTTCTCCGTCACTGTCATCTTGGCCACCAGAGAACACCATGAACACTCTCCCTAAATACCTTATCTGTACCATTTTTCTTCTTCTCCAAAACACATTAGGGTAGCCATAGTAGCAACCTAATTCTGTTACTCATTTCTTATTTTCGACAATGTTCATTCCTTCACTCATCACTCCCCGTCCATCTTCATAATTTCACTAATAATAAAAAATAAAAATTTCTATCAATTAAATTGCACGATTTTGTATCGAAAATAAATATTTACAAAGCAAAAAACAATGGCAAACAAAGAAATAACTGGATCATGCAAAAAGAAATCAGATCTATCAAAGATATTTTGAAAAGAAAAAGAAATGGGAAAGGGGATGGGGAAAGAATGAGAAGGGAACAAAAAAATGGAGCAAGGGCTGAGGGAGAAGGCGAAGGGAAGAAAAAGAAAAAAAGTTAAATGGGGAAAGGGCTTGGGGAAGACGGGAAGGGGGAGGGGATAAAGAGAAAAATAAACAGGGGAGGGAGTGGGATAAAATGGAGAAAGAAACTTATGTTTTTTAAATTTTTTTATTTTTATTCTGAATTTTTATAATCACGCTCTTTGTACGCGTGAAATATACGAATTTTGTACAACTCAACAATTAAGTTATCATATACACATGATCAATAGTTAGAGGAGTTCAAAATATTGATTTTGAACAAATATAAATGTTTGGATGAAACTTTCTTGACTATGGGGCTAACAAGTACACGTATTTTGCCTAAAAATAAGGAAAGAGTAAGAGGGAAAAAGATTATGTTATTTCCTTCCCAAGCGAAAAGTAGAACATTTGCCTTAACTTCACTTTTCCATTTCTCAATCCAAGAGATTTTTGGTATATCTTTTTCATAGTGAGCACAGGAGTGTGACAACCGTTACATCAGTTTGAGAGTGTAGAAATTACGTGGCGATCTCTAATTGGCCGTCTTGGTTTTCCAATTTCCTATGGAACTGTTTCTTTGCTTTTACTACCACTAAAAGATCCTTTTCCCGAGAAGCCCAAAAAAACTTTAAAAAAAAGGGGGTCGACGCCATGAGAGCTTATCAACCGTTGGATTTAAGCAAATTGACAATCTAACGACTCGTGTTGACTCAATGACTGACGGGTGGAAACTTTTGCCACAAAGCGAAAATGACACACAAAAGTTCTATATAAAGCCACTAACAAAAGAAGAAAATAAGAGCAGCTGAGCAGAGTAGTTCTATCACCACCTCATAACATCAAACGAAAAGCTTGTGCTTCTTATTCACCCATTTTCTTTCTGTAAGTTATTCATCGTTTAGTTCTTTTCCCTTTTCCATTTGATTGTTTTAATTCATAAGTATAAATAGGTTGTTTTTGGATGCTCTTAAGTTTGTTTTCAACAGGCTTGCTTCATGGTTACGATTAGATTTCAGTTGATTCAGATATGTTTTTGAGTTTTTTTTTTAAGATTTTTGTTTTTGGGTCGATTTTTGCAAGTAGATTTTGCTTCGGCTTGTCCCATTTGATTGCTTTAATCAACAATTGCATATAGCTTTTGGGAAATTTCACTTTCTTAAGCCCTTTTGTTTCCGGGATGGCTGATCTTACACCTTTTTGAATCTATACTCCCTTTTGTTTCCGGGATGGCTGATCTTACACCTTTTTGAATCTATACTCCATCTATTAATTGCTTTTTTTTTTGGCGGTGGGGTGGGAGTGGGTGGGTGGGGGTGTATACCTGTACATGCAAGAAAAGTGTCAAATTGACTACATTACTGATTGATTCCATAAATTCAAGTCGGTTGTGATTTGGGTTGTGATTTTGTTGTTATCATAAGGTAATCTGACAGGAAAAAAAGACATGCTTATCTGCTAGTGAAGCAGTTAATTTGTTCATGTGAAAGGTATTGCTAGTAACCATGGTCTGGAAATTTATATCCTGATGGTCTGATCATTATTATTTTTTGCATTGTTACATTGAATTTGTTCATGCTTAATGTTGCCTTTCCTTTTTCTCTTGTTAAGCTTACTATGGCTGAAAATAATGGACAAGGGATTGGAAGATATTCAGGAACCTCTCGTGTTGCACTCAATGAAAGAATTCTCTCCTCTATGTCTCATAGATCTGTTGCTGCTCATCCATGGCATGACTTAGAGATTGGTAAGGATAGCTATTTTTTTCTTACATATAACAAGAAAAATGAAAAAGAAAAGAAGTAGAAAGCTATTAATGTGTATTTCTTTTTAATCAGCATCGGTATATCATGTGTATCAATTTCAATGTCTGGATATTATTTCATGGTCTTGTTATACATGGCACAGTGTGGGGTTTGGTGTCTTTTTGTACTTATGCTTGATGTTCTGTAAATGCAGGGCCAGGTGCACCCGCAATCTTCAACTGTGTAAGTGTTTAGGACAGATTATAGTAATTCTTTTTTGAATATTCTTGATAAAGTACTTAAGTTACTCCAGCAACCAGAATCTTCTTATACTGGCTGTACTTGTTTAGTTATGCTTATGTAGTGCATATGACTTTTCATTCTTTCCAAAAGATCCTTGATTAAGTGCTAACATTTATTGAATGTAGCAAAGTGTTTTGATATTTGCATACTGATTTATCTTTGAATTAGCGGCCATTCTCAACTGGAAAAATATAACAAAGGTTGGCACTGGAAAAGAATTCAAATGATATTTGCATGTCAATATTATATCTTCCTCGTAGCTGTTATTATCTGTCTGCGGGATATTCCCAAGTACTAAACAGATGGTGTTAAGTTTCATTCAAACTAAAAGCTTAGACTTATGTGGCAGGTGGTTGAAATACCCAAAGGCAGCAAAGTGAAGTATGAGCTTGACAAAGCAAGTGGCCTTATAAAGGTGCTATCTTGACCAGTGATCTTTAGTTCTATTCAGGCAGGAAAAAATCTGTCTCTATTTGTATTTCAAGCTGATTTCTATTTTCCTTTTTATCAAGTCCTTCCATGGGCTAGAAAAATGTCTTTTGCGATGTGAAACTTGTATTAAGATCATTTCTAAGTCATTTCCTATTTCCTTCTTTTGTTATTGGAGAATTTGCAATGCTCTACCTTCATTACAGGTTCAGTGGGCAGAATGGTCAAGTATCAGATGTACATCCATGCATGATACCATCAATGACTTTGTATTGCAGAAATAAACTGTAATCATTGTTTGATTGCCATGAAGTATTATAGATAATAATACTTGTTATACTAAAACTTAATGCACCAATGCATTTGTTTCCATAAGATTTTGTTGTTTGCTATGTCTGCTCAGATAAGATGTGATTCGGAAATGATATCTTTAGGACTTAATAAATGCAGAATCTATTCTCATTCTAAAATGAATATCTTGATTTTTTATTTGGATAGAAGGGTGTGGTATCTTCTTTGGTCATTTTCTCTGCTTTTTGTATGATGTGTTAAATCAATTTACTCCTAGTGTTTTTTACATAAACTATGCTGCAAAGTTTTTCACAATCTGTTTCTTAAGAACTTTGCAATGGAAACTAGGATACTTGTTCCGTCTAGTCGGTTTTTAGTTGTTCACATTATGGATTTCTTATGCACTTTGCAATGGAAACTAGGATACTTTTTCCATCTAGTCGGTTTTTAATTGCATTATCCATTTAAGAATCTTCACTGTGATGATAATCATTTGACTCAATAGCTGAATTTGTGTCTAAAAGGTTGACCGAATACTGTACTCATCAGTTGTTTATCCACACAACTATGGTTTCATCCCAAGAACCCTTTGTGAAGACAGTGATCCGATGGATGTCTTGGTACTGATGCAGGTTTGCCTCCATTTACACTCATACATGCACGTACACACACATCTTCCTCAAGGCCCAATCTTGCATTACTTATCTCATTACTCCTGGGTACTCTTACATCCATTCTGTATGCTGTTTAGGAACCTGTGCTACCTAGTACCTTTCTTCGTGCTCGTGCAATTGGATTGATGCCTATGATTGATCAGGTAAGGTTTTTGAATAAATGTGAACTTTTTGCCACATGTACTTAGAAGATGGTGAAAAATGCTTGAAAAAAAGCATTTGCTTTTTATTTTTCTAATAGAAGTATGTTTTAATTTATTTCCTTTTAAGTTTTATTGTGTACCTATTTTTAACCTCGAGAGCCCACATTATATGTTTTTCTGATTTTCCTTCAAACTAAAAATTTATTGAAGTGGAAAATAAGGGATGCTGTTAGTCGAGCTGCTGCCGAGCTATGTTGCTCGGACTCTCCGAAAATGTCGCCGGATGGGTGTCAGATCCTCCAAAAGTAGTGCAGTTTTGGAGGATCGGACACGGGTGCGGCAGCATTTTAACATAGCCGTCAAGAGCTCAATAATAATTGAGCCGTATACATCATTGATATGTTTGCCCATTGTCAACTTTAATGAGGGTGATAACTTCTCTTCTGCACATTTGATAGAAAAACTACGAGACGGAACAGTTAAACAGGAGTTAGAAAATTTAATAGATTCAGACCCCAAATAACTGTGGTGTGTGACATAGTGGCACCACTGTTATATTTTCCTTTTTATTTGAGTGCATTACAACATTTGAAAAGTAATGCTAGTCATTTAGCATAATATGTAATAACTAATTGATGTTAGAACTCTGTTACAGGGTGAGAAAGATGACAAGATAATAGCAGTATGTGCTGATGATCCCGAGTTTCGCCACTACTCAGACATCAAGGAGCTTCCTCCTCATCGGCTTGCTGAAATTCGGCGCTTTTTTGAAGACTGTATCCTCTGATATTGCATTTAGTTGTTTAATTAGTTAAACAAAGAAGGAAATTCTCCATAGGTCATGGATGGAGTTTCTGGTTTCATATGCTTCCCTAATGGGTGTCCATTTTGTAAACCTCAAGAATGTATTTGAGTATTACAATGTCTGCATATCATAAGGGTTGACAAACATTTGCTAGGTTCTACTGTTTCTTTCTATACATCCTTGACTCTGTGTCAACAGATAAAAAGAATGAGAACAAGTCAGTTGCAGTGGAAGACTTTCTTCCTGCTGAAGCAGCTGTTGATGCCATTAAGTATTCCATGTCAGTGCTTTTGAGTTCTCTCATGTTATGGATTGCTTATTCTTTGTGTTACCAGAAAGCCTCACTAAAATATTTTATCTTTCTGGCTGTGATCACAGGGACCTGTATGCTTCTTACATTGTGGAAAGTTTGAGGAAGTGACCTTGTTGTTAAGAACATGCTGCAGTCATTACCGGAAATTTAAGTAAAGAAGCTGTTGACTTGTTGAAGCTGGCTCTCCCAATTTCATATGCTTACTTTAGTTTAACATGGTTTTATTGGATATTTTAAATATATGTAGAACTTCTTTAATTTGCATGAATTCAGAAAAGCTGTAGAAAAGAAGCATCGGGGAAAACTGGAAAATATGCACTGCTATCCTGTAGAAAGAATGCTTGCCCAAAATATGAAAAAGTTTATTACCAATATATTTTGGACATGTTAGCTATCTTGTTTTGATTTCGTTTTGTTTTTCTCCCCCTTATTCGTTCGTTAGAATCTCTAGTCCAAACTTTTCCAACTCCATGATATTCGCAGGCCCGATTCTAATGTCAATTCAATTTTAATCACTGAAAATATAAGAGTATATTGTTTAATGATTTACAATTCAATTTGTATTTATCTTGAAATATGAAATTTTAGTTCTTGCCTCAGAAACATAAAATAAAAAGGAAAGAAAATTTCTTCTCAATTTTATGTATATATATCAATTCTTAAGCCATACAAAGTGATATCTTAGCTTCTTAGAAACACTAGAAATTTTTCTAAACAAATGAGTACTCTAGAATCATCATTAAACAAATGATTAGTGGCAATTGAAAAGTGTACAAACACATATATCAATGATAAAAGACTACTATAAAATTAGTCCTCTAGAATCATTATTATCTTTTCTAAACTCTGTATTATCATTTCGAAACAATAGTGAATGAACAAAAAATGTGAAAATATAATTTCATTTTGAAAAATATGTAAGAATATTATAATTGGAAAACAAAGGTATTCAATACTAATACTATGTTATAGGCAAACGAAAAAACAACATGGGCAATGATATGAAAATTTTCAATAACTCTTTATATTCATTAAATATTTTAGCATTGGAAATAAAATTATTTTTCATAAAAACTCGTTAGGAAGAGAAATGCAAGAGTATGTTTGGAAAGCCACATAGGAATTGGATTTGGGTATAATTGAGTGTAATCGCATAGTTTGGCATGTTTGTCTGGCCAAGTAAATACTTGGTAAGCATGGAATTGAGTGTAATTGAAGAGGTGTAATTACACTCTCTAATTCTCGAGGGGAGGGGGGTGAGAATTGGTGGTAATTACACTCTGTAATTACAAGGTTACTTTTAAATTTTTTTCCTTTTTTTAATTTTAATTTATTTTCTTTATAAATTTTTATTTCCATTATTTTAATTTCTTTTTTTTATTTTTTTATTTTTACTTTTAAATTTTAAAATATATTTTCTTTGTACATTATTTATCTTTTATTTTTCTATCTTTACTTCTTGTGATTCCATGTAATTGCTCATATATTTTATTTCTTATTTATTTTAATTTTTTTTATTTAGTGTAACTACGNATTTTTAAATTGTGTTATATTTATGGTTCCAATTTACTTGTTTTTAGTAGTATTGGATTGTTATTTCACATTGCATGTTGTTTATTTTTTTAGTTAGAATTGATAGATTAGTTTGTCAAACATTTGCATAATGTTATGACATTTTATTTATAAATATTAATTTATTTTATCAAACATGAATTCCATGATGTTCTTACAAAATATATGTTTTTAATTTTTATAATTAATTAAATTAAATATTATTAATTTGGAAAATATATATCAATTATTTTTGCAATATAAGTTATAAATATATGATTACTAATTAGTGTATATTCAAAAAATATATGCATCTTAAATATCAAATCTAATATCATTTATACTTATAAAAAATTATTTATAGCATATATTTAATATATTAACTTTTGGGTTTTGATAATTATTTTATTTAAATTTAATCTAAATGTGTAATTACACTTGTAAATACACTGTAATTACTTATGACAAACAAACAAGTCGTCGTAATTACTAGGCTATGCAATTACTAGGCAGTATAATTATTACCCTAGTAATTACACTAATTCCAATTACCGGGTGGCTTTCCAAACAGACCCTAAGACCCTAAAAGAACATGTGAAACTTTAGTTACCTTTAAATTCTAATTTTAGTGTTGGTATTGGAAGCAATTATGCAAGTAGTTCGTAATCTATACTATATTAAAAGCATGAACACCATTAGCGAAATGTCGTTCGCCTTTTTTATCTTTTAGAAATAGATTTCACACTTGATAAAATAGTCATTTTCTCTAATATTAGAAATATGAATAGTCATTTAATAGTTTCCTAATATTTAGGAATTCGAAATCAATTAAATTTTATGTATTAAATATTTTCTCATTTGAACTGTGTAATATAACAAATTAGTAAAAGAAAAATAATAACAATGAAAAATCACAATATTTTGTGACGTGTTTCAAAAAAGTCGTTTACTACATTTACATTTTGGGAGTCCTTTCATACATTCAACAATCAATTCTTTAAAACAATAGGCAATTTAGGTAAAAGTTTTGAGTACTTTCAATTCCTTTTAGGTTTAGGAAATTTTTTATTTGATATAAGTTATAAAAACTTTGAGTGCTTTGACCATTTTTAGGTTTAGGAATCTTTTTATAAAAAAAAAATTAACCGATCAATTCCTTAATTATGTTAGGTACAAAATTAAGTACAAAAGCTTGTACGAAAGCTTAAAAGCTTGTACAAAAAATATTACTAATTCTTTATAGTTATGGTAGGTACAAAATTTATTAATTAGTTATAAATATGTTAGGTAAACTTTTCGAGTACTTCCACCTTGGTTTAGGTTTAGGAATTTTTTATTTTTTATGGTAAAAATCTCAGCACTTTTTCCTCAAGTTTAAGAGTATGCGTTTATGTATGGAACCTAATATTTCAGACTTAGAGTTTATTAAAATTTTACTTCATTAATTATAGGCCAAATACATTGGCAGCCCCTTTAACTTGTTTTCACTTTTCACTTTAACACTTACTCTTAAGGTCATTTTATTTAAACACTCCAACCAACCCTTTAGTGTGTCATCCGGATACTAAAATGTTAGACAGCCAAACATGATAGATGCATGTAATTTACACGCCAGAATGACCAATAAAACGGAGACACGTGGATGACACATTAAAAAAACTTTTAGGAAAAGGGAAAAAGATTAAAAAAATAATAATAAAAATAAGAACCCTCCGTTATCTTCTTCCTGCCCCCCTCCC